CCTAGCTCCCACTGTCCTCATATTAGAGGCCAGACACTAAAGGCTGTCATTCTGAGCCTGGTCTCTGCATGCTCCAACCTCCCATCACCCCACTCCCTATCCCATCCGATATAACAGGAATTTGCAATTCCTAAACATTCCAGATAAGTCTCACCTGCTAGTATTTGAACATTCTGGATCCTGTGCCCAGGATGCATGTCACATCTTACCCCAGCAGCTGTCCCAAAATGGAACTGATCCATATAACCCAGGACTGAGTTAAGGACCCTGGGCTTTGTGGAACCACAGGGTTTTTAGACCCAAGAGCGCAAGGATAGGTGCAGAGTTTCAGAACACCACCATTCCCTATATTAGAGTACCTAAACCATCGGGGTGGTAATTAGGGTGGGTGGGAGCCTGGGAACACCCTACTCATCCCTGCAGGGTCCATAAGCATTTCTGCCACTGCCAAGGGACCCTGTGGGAAGAGGGAGGCCATGAGAAACGGGCAGCCATGGTAGGATCCGACATGCTGCGCTGGACCATCACCCCTGCCCTGCCCTAGAGCAAAGCGACCTCAGCCTGATGGTCCAAGCTCAGCTCCTCAGACCTCAGGGCTCTCTTACCAGCTGAGTAACCCTGGAGAAGGACCGAATCTCCCTGAGCCTCAACGCCCTAATCTGTAAAATGGGCATTAGAATGCTTTCAACTCATAGGGCAGATAGTGATATCAAACATAAAGAGTGCACACTATGTATCAGCTGTACGTACTGTCCACCCAATCAATAGTTCTGTATATGTGTTCAGTGCAAATAAAGTAGTAGGGTTTTGAAAATTTGGGCATGTATTTTTCCCAGTTTTTAAGATTTTCCAAGGATGTGATACATAAAACTTTACATCGTAAGCAAATATTTAAAGGTAAATTAACATTCAGACCAATTATTAAGTACAGGTATTTGGATAAATTTAACTAATTCAATAGGTTAATTTTGAATTGCCTACGTATGTGTACATATTGAGAGAGATGCTGGTTCATTAGTGTTTCAATCAATAACTGTTTCATATAATCTTAAGTTAGTGAGTTGTAGGGAGGGACTGAGCAGGCAGGTCAGCTATTGGTCCTTTCAGTAACGAGGCCTACCTGCAACATAATCTTGAGGAAAGCACTCAGGGAGCCCGTGACTGAACAGTGCATCACCCCTCTGGCTCTGAGGGCTGGAGGTGAGGCAGTAGTGCCCTGGTCTGGCACCCTGCCCTCCAGTCTGAGGCATCCCCTACCTCACCACAGAGCCCATCTGAAATAACAACCTTAAGACTCTCCTTCTTCAATCTGATCCCCAGACTATGTCCCGGTCCAGTCCAGCACCCTCTACCCTTTTGAAAGGTGTGGACCAGCCACCTTCCTGGGCCTCCAGACCTTTATGCCCATTTATCTATGTGAGGTCTCCATCTTCTGACATCTCCATCTTGAGACATCTCAGAATCACCACGTCCAAATACAACTCATGATTGTCTCCCTGAATCCTGTTTACTGCACTAACTACCTCATCTCCATTCCTTAAATGTCTAGGTAAAAAAATTTGGGATGGCTTTTCACTCACTGCTTTTGCTCACAACCACATGTGATGCAGCAGGAAATCCTGTTGACTGTCTTTATGAGCTATACAAACTCTTGTCACATCTCTCCTCTACTGTCACTCCTCTGGTCCAGCCCCTCCCATAATTCTCCAGGAGTCCATTGCCGTGTCCTCCTTAGCATCTCCCTGCCTCCATTTCCCCTCCCCTTTCTAACAACTTTAAACTTCAAATCTGATTATGTCCCTAAATTAGGGTCCGGAACCCAATTCCAACATGTGTGTGTGGGGGAGGGGGGGACTTCCCATACAACATCAAGCAATTTTTGGACACCAGCAGGGTGTCAAAGGATTCAACTCAATTCTGATAGTATGTACCCAGAGGCGGTATCAGACACCACAGGTTAAGGGTTCAGTCCTACAACACTGTCCCTTCATATGCCAGTCACAAACCCAGGTTGATACCTGCATTTCTGACCTACTGGCTATAAATCAGAGGTTCCCAACACCATCTCCTTGAGTTCAATTAATTTGCCAGAATGGTTCACAGAACTCAGAGAAACATTTTATTTACTAAATTGATAGCTTATTATAAAACGATATAACCCAGAATCATCCAGATGGAAGAAATACACAGGGCAAGATATGGGGAAGAAATTCGGAGCTGCCACATCCACTCCAGGTTCACCACTCTCCCCAAATCTCCACCTGTTCACCAACCCAGAACCTCTCTGAACCCTGTCCTTTTGGGTTTCTATGGAGACTTCATTACATAGGCATGGTTGATTAAATCAGTTGCCATTGGCAACTGGTTTTTTGTTTTTGTTTTTTTAATTGGGGAAGGAGAACAGTGTTGGGGAATTGGGGAAAGGGAACAGCCAAGTTGTCCTTTAATCTTAATTGTGCAGGGTGCAGCAAGCTCAGCTCCAAGTCCAGTCATGCGGCTCAGCTTAAGGTGCTGCATTCAATATTGGGGGGAGGGGCACAGCCCACCATCCCATGTGGGAGTTGAACCAGAAACCTTGTTGCTAAGAGCGCAGGCTCTCACCAGCTGAGCAGTCCTGCCATCTGTTGGTAGCTCAGGGGCAGTTCAGCTTGGGCGCAGCTCACTGTGGGAATCGAACCCACGACCCTGTTGCTCAGAGCTGAGGCTCTTAACCAATTGAGCCACTAGGCCGGCCCTGTTGGCAACTGATTTAACCTTCAACCCCTCTCCCCTCTAGGGACCTCGGGGGAGTGGGAATGAAAGTTCCAACGGTCTAATCATATGGTAGGCGACAACCAGCCGCCATCCTTAGGTGCTGCCAAAAAAAGTCACCTCATTCACAGAACAAGACAACTTTATTACTCTCAATACCTAGGAAATTCCAAGGGTTTTGGGAGCTATGGGCCAGAACTGTGGTGAAGACCAAGAATACATGAGAAATACATTCTGGTCTGACTAACCAAATAAGTATTTCTTATAAATCACAATATTGTTGCCCCTCTCTTCCTCTACAACATTCCATGGCTTCCAGAAGCTCATGTCGCCTCTCCAGGTGACAAGCCGTGTGTCCCGTGGACACACTGACCCCAGGTTTCCTCAGTGCGGCCGACTCAGGAGCATCTGCGGCCTGTGCACAGGCCGCCCCTGAGGGAACCCTCCTATCTCATCACATGGCGGCCACGGGGGCCTGCATGCAGGGAACCAAGCGGTGCCCCTCCACCCGGGCTTCGCTCTCGGAGGTGGGAGCCGGGCGGGGTGAGGCCTGGGGGCCGCAGCACCCACCTGAGTCGGGCTCATCGGCGCGGCCCCCGCCACCGACCTGTGGGAAGAGTGGGACCAGAACGGGCGACGGGGCGGGAACAAGGCGCCGCCGTCACCGACGGACTCAGTGGGGCCTCACAGCCGCCTCCGTGCAGCGGGGACGACGCCTCTCCTCTCTGTCTCCTCGGTCCCGCTCCAGAGCTCCGCCACCCTAAAAAACAGAAGAGCCTTAAGAACAGCCCCAACGCTCCGAGCGAGAGGAAGCCGCGAAAGCACCGCCCCCACGAGAGCGAAGGCACGTACACGTCTCTAGTCTAAGCTCTCATTGACTTATTGCGCCGGCAGCTGCCCTTGCCGCAGAGCATTCTAGGTAATGTAGTTTCCCCGCTAATGACCGCTGTTTGGCAGCGACTGCCCTTCCAGACCTTAGGGATAATGGCCAAGGGACAACTTAGGGTGCGCTGGGAAGTGGAGTTCCCGGACTCCAAGGACGGAGCGGGGCTTCTTGGCTCTTAAAGGGGACGTGTCAGAAATAGAGATCTGTTATTACACACTCTGTGACACACGGCAAATTCCCGAAGGCTGCACGACCGAAGGGACACGCCATACCATAATGACACCCGGCGTTCACTTATAGCTGTCGGCTGTCTTGTTGCTTGTCAAATACCCATAGACTGAAGTTTTGGAGGCTGTTTTATGGCCTTTGATAAGCTGTCAGTGACAAGAAAGAAAAGACCACAGGCGGCATGACAGGGAGTTGGAGGAAGGATGTTTTTCCTGCCTGGATAATCAGTGATAGTGTTCCAACCTAGAGAGGAGCATTTTTATTGAGATATTTTTTCTGCCCTCATTGAGATAATAATACCATTACTCCATATCCGAGATACTTTCAATTTCTTTTGAAAATCTGAAAAGGAGAGCGACTTATCACAGGTCCTTTCTTGCCAAGATAGTGTGTGCCTTCCTAACTGTCAAGCCCATTTGCAAAGGGGGCCTCTTGTACCTGAGATAAAGGTGTGGGATTCCATGAGCTCATCTCCTCGATGGGAAGTGATTTAGTATTTCACCTGAAATTGCAGCAAACATGAGTGCACAGGGACTTGAAATTATCTCTGAAAAATACTTGTGAAATGGAGATTACAGAAAGTTATTAATGATGATTATTCAATGAAATTGGCAAAATAGTTCTAGAGAAACATCTGTTACTGGTGAAAAAAAGTTAAGATCTCAGTGAAATTTGAGTGAGAGACAGTGAAGTCTGAAAAGTTGGAGAATGATGCTGAGCCTATGACTGTGCTAGAACCTTGGCCACACTCAGGGTGTACCTCAAAAATGTGATTCTTTTTCATACTTGAAAACTTTGTGCCTAACAACTTGGAGGGGTAGGTAGAGACGACATCTTTCAAAAGCTTTCTGGAAATGTAAAAATGAATAGGGAAGCTGTGCTGTCATGTGTGTTTAATAATCTCACAAATGTCCAGTAAGCACCTATGAGGTTCCAGGCAAAATAATAGGTTCATGAAACACATGTGGAATTGAATGGTCTACTGTCCTGTGTATACAGGTTATGTCCTATATTTATGATTTTGTACTGGGTCCTGTATTGACTGTCAGAATGCCTTATATATCTAATATTCAGCTTTCTTCAATGCTTTAAAAAATGTTGACAGAGCTATTTTTCTCCCACTGTACTAGATGATTAAACCACTTAATGGTTACCCTAGCTGAAAACCATACACCCACAAATAAAGATCTGGGTAATGCCTTATGGTGCCTGCTGCCTGAAGATTTGCCTGAAGGAAGACCAAAAAGGAGGCTTAAGAATTGAAGTGCTTATTTTTCATTTTCAGAAAAGGGAAAGACTGTCCTTTACAAAAGTCTAAAGTTGTGAACAAGAAATCACCATTTATTAGAGATAACTTTGGATTAATATATATATGCTCTGAAAGTCAGCCTGTCAACAATAGCGTTGCCCCAGTAATTAACCTTATAAAAGTTAGGAAATCATTGCTAGTACCAAGCTGCTAAGATTCAGCCAATCAGTGACCAGACCCATGAGGTGTGACCACATTAACAGGAGTGACCACTCTAATACACCTAAAACTGTATCAAACCTTAAATACTTGCCCCTTCTGAAAGTCCACTAAGTCTGAACGCCAGACTTCCCAAACACTTATGTTACAGCAGCTTGGACTTGGTTTGAAGAAACAGTCTTTCAACTAGAGCTCTCCCCTGCAGGAAAATAGAAAGGTCACTTCACTTTGCCTCAGATACCAAGTTCAAATTACTGTTACTTCATAAGTCTGCAACCCTTTCGACGGTTCAACTTCATGCGTGTGTTCAACTCAACTTCATGAGTTCAGACATGCAAATGACAGATGAACTGATACAGCCATAAGACTGTAAAATAAAATGTTTTCAATTCTTGTGAAGTTTTATATTACCTATTATTTGTGTATACTGAATAGAACATGCCAAAATGCAAGAGTACATTTTGTGATAAATTTTTTGAAGAACAGGCATTTATTAAATGAGAAAAAAATACTTTTGAAGATCCTTGTATGGAATGCAGTTCTCTATTCATTATTGGAAATCATGAGCAGTCAAATATAAACGAGCATGTAATAACAGTTAAACATGTGAGATGTAAGATTTCACCTAGCAGCAAACAAAATGATAAAATAAGATTTTTATTAAGAGGGATTCAGATAAAATTTTTTTAAAAATCAAAGGAGAGGTTGTAATGGCCGTCCGCACTGTATATCATCATTAGATCGCCATTCACAATGCTACTTTTGAACCTGTGTCTCATTAAGGAATGTGCAAGGACAAAGGAATGAAAAAGTTGGATGAGACTACCCTGGAAGCTATGAAACAAAGTAAATGGAATATAGGCAGTAACTACAATGCATTTTATAAACAAATACTACAAAACAAGGAACTGTTAAGAAGAGGCAAACTACCAGAGAAGTGTAATTAAAGAAAAGTATGAAACTTAGTTATACTTTCTTTCAGAAGCACAACAAATAATTGTTTACAATACATAATTTTTATAATAAGTATGTCCCATGAAATATTTTTCTTTTTTCTCAGCATGCATATGCATAGAGAATTAGAAAACAATTCAAATATTACTACTGGGCCTGACATTATTTACTAAGTCTGGCAAGCCTACTTTTCCAAATTATTATACCTAATCACCCACTCAGATAATTTCTGTTACTCATCCCCTCTACGGTAAGTTCTGCTGCCTGGGAGGCCTTTGTTCTTAAGGAGAAAGCTTCCACCACAAGAAGAATATTAGTAAGCCTGATTTGGGACATAAGACAGCTACTTGGACTTCTTGGGCTCCTCATGCCACTTTGGCAAAAAGGGAAACACTCCACTGCTTCAGGTGGTTATGGTTACCCTTTATTGCCAAGAGAAGTTGAATTGCTGCTCTCAGCGGGAAGCCTGGAGCACTATGTCTGGAATCTGGGAGATTGTGGGGAATGTGTTAGTAAGTCCATGTCCAAAAATAAACCTGCAGCATCACAATGAAGGCAGGACCCATTGGATAGTCAGAACATTCTGGTTTTGAATTTTGGGTTCACCTGACAGATTAAAAAAGCCAAACTGAAACAAAAACACCTCTGAAAAATGAATGGAAATTAACTAATGCTCAATGTGTGACCAGTTACTATAACAAAGAACCTCACCATTGTGAATTCCCTTTTTGGTGTGAGAGATGACTATACACATAGACAATGACCACACCAGCTCTAAAACTCTAACCCACAATCTGTGCCAACTTATCCAGACAGCCCACCTGGTGTCTGCAGTAAATGGTCCAGGAAGTCAGATCACAATCTCCAGCAACCAGGAGAGGAAGCCAAACAAAAACATATGTAAAGATTGGCACAAGACATCTGGGACTTAATAACCGACAGCTTCCCTAATTTTGCCCACACTTCCAACTTAGGAACAAGCGGAGAAGGACAAGGATGAACGACTAACCAATCTCATATGATCCCCACTTCCACTGACCCCCTACAGCTGCCCCATGATGACAGCCTCCCACCAGGGCACACCGGGTACCTTGTCTTTTATCCACCAGAAAGCTTTTCCACTTCTCTGCTCACGTTTGAGTCTCTCCCAAATGCGAGTAATGGTGCCTGATTCTCTCTGAAGAAATGGGCTCTACTCATTCTCATTTGAGTACTCACTATTTCCACTGTTACCTATATTTGAAATTCAGTAATGGTCCTATTGATCATGTTTCTCATTATAAACATTTGATGGAAAAAAGAACAATAGAAGTAGGATGTGACCACTATGGAAGCTAAGCTACGATGTATTATAATTATCAGAGGCATGATCTCCACTGTTCTTCACTTGCTGACCCCAAAGTTCCTCCAGGTATGTTACCCTCGATGGTCCCTTGTATCTTTCTGCTCACAGCCTGTCAAGCCTTAACAAAAAAGGAAAATTCTTACATATGCTACAACATGGATGAAATTAGAAGACATTATTGTAGATGAAGTAAGATTGTCTTGTCCCAAAAGACAACATTTGTATGATTCCACTTAGATGAGCTCCCTAGAATACTCACAAAAAGTAGAGACAAAAGTAGAATAGAATGTTGGTTTCCAGGGACTGGGGGGAGCGAGTAATTGTTGTTGAATAGGTATAGAGTTTCAGTTTTGCAGGATGAAAACAGTTCAGGAGATAGGCTACACAACAGATCATTAAATGACAATCGCCCAACCTCTTCTTCAGAGTAAACATACCAAACAGGTAGCAGGTGTTTCCAATATCCCATTTAAGGGAATATTATGAACAAATTTTATCCTGTGAAGTTAGACAAGTTAGTTGAAATGCATAAATTCCCAGAAAGACATGAATCATCAGTGACTAAAAAAGAAGTAGAAAATCTATATAGAACTATACTAAGTAATTTTATTTAAAATCTTCCCACAAGAAAATACCAGGCCCAGATACCTTCAGAAGGGAAGCCAATATTTTGTTGAGGATTTCTGCATCTATCTTCAGGAGACATATTGGTCTGTAGTTTTCTTATAATGTCTTTATCTGGTTTTTTCTTTTAGGGTAGTGCTGGCCTCATAGAATGAGTTGGGAAGTATTCCCTCTGCTTCTACAATATCTTCTGAAAGAAATTGTACAGAATTTACCCTTTTATCATTATGTAATACACCCCTATATCCATGATAACTTTCCTCAGTCTGAAGTCTGCTCTCTCTAAAATGAATATAGTTACTCCTGCTTTCTTTTTATTACTATTATCATGGTATATTTTTCTCCTTTTACTATATGCTTAAACATATAAATATCTTTGCATTTAAACCACTTTTTTCTTGTAGACAACATCTAGTTGGTTCCTGTGTTTTGATCCACTTTGACAATCTGTCTTTTGATTGGTGCAGGCATTCAAAGTGATAATAATATAGTTGGATTAATATCTACCATATTGGTTACTATTTTCTATTTGCTGCCCTTGTATCAATACTTTGCTCCTATTTTTGTCTTCCATCCTCCTGCTGCCTTTTGTAGTTTTAACTGAGCATTTTATAATTCAGTTTTCTCTCCTTTCTTATCAGTTA